CAAGACAAACTTGCTTTTGGGAATGACCTGAGGGCGCATAGAGCTGAGCAAGTGGGGTGTTCCAGGGACATTTGGGGTGAATTCCCCTTCCCAAGGGGCCCCTGTTTAAAAAACAGTGGAAACAAGCCCACAAAGGATACCAATACCAGCTCTTAACAATGTAATGTTTGTTTATTGCCCCCCACCATTCATTAAACATGCCTGCTATGTACTGGGCATCTCATTAGGTATGTGTTCACATTAATAAGAAAAACATATGACTCAATCTAGAATAAAGCTAAGGCCCCCCACTCCAGTGTTCCTTTCAGTAGGCCAAAGAGACCCTTAGCATGCAATTCATCATCATATCCTATCATGCCCATCATCTGAGGAAGCCTTTCTTAATACTGAACCAGAAATCTGACCAAAAAAAAAATCTAAAAAGGAGTTGACACCACAAAGAATGCTTTGGCTAGATCTCTGGTTCTTTAACTGTGAAGAACAAGATTTTAATTTTAAAAGCAAATAAAACTCATCATTTTAAAGTGTACAATCCAGTGGGACTTAGTGTACTAATAATATTATGTAACCACCATGACTACTTAGTTCCAGAACATTTTCATCACCCGCAAAGGAAACCCTGTATCCATTAAGATGTCCCTCCCCATCTTCTTCCTTGCCCCAGCTGTCTCCTTGGATTTGTCTAATATGATGGAATAATAAAATTCATAGTCTCTTATGTCTGGCTTACTTGCCTTAGCATAATGTTCTTATGGTTTTCCATGTGGTAGCATGTGATCAGTGCTTTATTCATATTTCTGGCCAAACTATTCTTTGAAAGATGTTTGGGTTGTTTCTACCTTTTGGCTATTACTGTGAATAGTCTGAAGATGTGCACATGTTTTTGTTTGAACACCCATTATTAAATTCTTTTGGATTCACCTAGAAGTGGAACTGAAGGGGTCATATAGTTAAGCCAAGGGCTTCCTTTTGATGGTTTCTTCCAATGTACAAATAAATAAGCTGACTTTGGTCAGTAATGTTGCCTTCCCCTCCTCTCACACCCCTTTGCTTTTCTAATTCAGTGATCTCTATTCTCAAGATTTTCATCACAGGAAATCACTGTTCATAATTCTATCAAGTTCACAAAATTTCAGATGCATCAGAGAACTCAAATGTTTTTGCTTGTGTGTGTCCCTTACTGTGTACTGATGTCTACTCAACTTTAGGTTTTTAAGAATATTTAACAGTGCCTAGGGACATAAAGGAGGAGAAACCACCAGAACAGGTCATCTTTAAGTGGCCACTGACGCCATAAAGTCTGAGCTCTGAGGGCCTAAAGACAAGGAAGATTTAAAATATAAATCAGATCACATCCCTCCGGTCCAAGTGGCCCTGTTTCAGTTCAACACACTACACTTGCCCCCTCTTGCAGCCTTTGTATTTGTTGTTTCCTGGCTGGAACCCTTTCCCTGGCTCAGCTTGTCTCTTTACATTGAAGGTTCAATTCAAAAGGTCCCTTCATTAATAATGAAGAGGACTCCTCAACCATCTAAGATTGCTTCATTCCTACGATACTCTGATGCATTTCTTCATACATTGACTATTCTCTAAAATCGTTCTTTGCTTGTTTTCTGTTCTCTCCGGTAGACTGTATATTAAAGTAAGGACCTTGCCTGACCCTAAGATCCCACATACCTGCATGCAGCAAATGCTTTTAAAACATGTTAAATGAACAGAACTTTAATAGCAGATGCTACATGTTCAAGGCCGGGGTATGGGGGTGGGGGGGTGGAGGGGTTAAAAGCATGATATACAATCTCTATCTTCAAGGGACTTACACTTGTATTATGTAATACATTAATAATTATATAGTGGTTTAATATTGAAACAGAATTCAGGACTTTTACTTTCACCATTCTTGGCTACTAGGTAAGATGGAATGGTTTTGAATGGCAAATATTTGCATAAAGAATTGTTTGTTATTTTATGCAGTCTGTATCTGTTAATTACTTTAGAACTCTGGGGATCAGTTCTACTGTACCCATAATCAGACAACTTCCTTCTTCAAATTAGAGATAAATTCTTTATTCATTCATTTGTTCATTGAATTAAAAGTTGCTAAGGGCCCATCATGAACTACGCACTGTTCTAAGTGAACACTACAAAGAACAAAACGGAGTGGGTCTTTATCAAATGAAGTTAACATTCTAGTGATGGCGAAGAGAAAGGAACAAAAATGTTAGAAATCATTAAAAAGCATAGCATGTTGAACAAGGTTGCTGGAAAAAAAAACACTAAGAAATTCCCATTGTATCCAGCGGTGATGGAAGAGGGTGAGAGTTGGAAAAAGACTGGAGAAAACATTTATTCATGCAATCAATTATTTATTAAGCACCTTCTATGTAATATATAACCTGCTATGCTGTGCAGATAATTGGAAATAAAGAATATGATGTGAGAGACAGATGGTAAAACTGACAAGGAACAAAATCAGCAATGAATGCACTTCAGAAAAACAATAACAGGGGAATATGACTGGTACTTAAGCCTGGGGGTGGGAGAAATCAAGGAAGGGTTCTGAGGAGGTAACATTTAAGCCTAAACAATAAGGAGCATGTCTTTCAAAGATTGGGCAAAAACTACTCCACTCACAGGGAAACCTCAAATACATGAAAGCAGTGATGAGCTAGGAATATTCAAGGGATAGAAGGCAGGTCTGTACGGTTGGAGCACACACAGAGGACTAGGGAAAATTGTTAGGAAATAGGAAAAGGAAGCAAGAACAGATCTCCTAGTGTGATGTCTCAATGTGGAAGCATGGAGGACAGGAGGAAGTGTACCCAAGAACAGCCTAGACCAGGGTGGCAATGGTAAAGGTGGCACAGCACTCATTTATAAGGAGATACTATTAACCTTAAGGTACAAAGCTGCTCTGAGTCACACTAGATCTGTGATGTAACCCAACTTCCATGTATTGGGAAGAGGTAGGTGCATCACTTTGCCAGTAAAGGACCAAAGAGCATAGGTGCTGTGGGGTGCCCACAACCAACCAACCAGCCATACCAATGCTTTTAAATTCTTGGAACTTTGCCTTCAATGAGTTACAAGTGTGAAGTCCACTCTAGGTCCTCTCAACCCTTTTGAAAACAGAAGGGGCTGAGGCTTAGCTCAATGGTGGAGCCCCTGGTTGCTTGGCACCTGTTGGGCACTGGGTTGGATCCTTAGCACCAAAAAAATAAATAAACAAAAACATGTTGTCCATCCATAACTACAAAAGAAGAAGGAAAAAAAAAAACAGACAAGTTCAACCACTTGATACACACACATTTAGAGTTCCATTTCTTGGTTTCACTTCCCTGCAAGGGTACAAAAATAAGAAAATAAGAAAACTGCCTCTCTCTCAACATTTAGCTTGCCATAGAAGTTAAAAGACAGGTACAGGAGAAGAAGAGTGGGACTGTGGTGTTGCACTAAGCCTTCAATGTTTCCAGGGTCCGTTTACCTAGGCCAGGATTCCCACATTTTGTAAAGGGTGGCAGGGAGGGGTAGTGGCAAATTCTTCCATGCTTTGACCCGATTTTATTCATTTTTCTTCCGGAGATATTTCCTATAGTTTGGCTAAACTGTAGCGTATTCGTTTTTATTTATTTATGTTTTCGTTGTAGATGGACACAATGCCTTCATTTATTTTTATGTGGTGCTGAAGATCGAACTTAGTACCTCAAACGTACTAGGCAAGCGTTCTCCCACTGAGCTACAATTCCAGCGTGTAGCTTATTCTTAACGTCAGCACTTTTCTGGGAGAGGCGTAATATCTGAACACACTTTGCATATTGCCAAGCCAACAATTCATACTCAGGAGGGGCACAGATACGCATACTAACGTGCCGAGTTCTTCCTACCACCCCCACCCCCAGTTGGAAACCAGGTAGCACCGACTTCGCCCCGCCCTCATCTCCTACTTAGGACTCGAGGACTGGATCTCCCCTGGCACTGTCCTCTCTCCCTAAAGGAGCATCTCGTTACCTTCGCTGCATCTTTGCAGCTCTTTTACAAAAGCAGAAACAAATATAAATAAATGATGCAAAGGCAAGGGTGAGCCGGGACCCCGGGGCGTGTGCGCCCGTGGTCATGGTAAGCCCGTCCAAGACTCCACCAGGCCATAGCATGGTAGGAAGCCCTCGGATCGTTGCTACAAGACCGCTTTCCGCCAGCCTTCGGTGCTCAACGTTCCCCACCGGCTCGCGCTCCCCTGGGCACTCTGGCTGCACCTGTGCGCAAAATCCTCCGACCCCGTTACCTTGTAGAAAGTGATTGTATCCAGGGGAAGGGCGCCTTTAGTGTGCAGGCCGCTGGTGCCGTGCGGAGTGGAGAGGAGCAGGAGGCTCAGGAGAAACGGAAGAAGCGGGGAGAGAGAAGCGGCACAAGGCACGGCGGCAGCCATAACGCCGGATTGTGAGAGTCAGAGGTTGAAGAGCTGGGTGGGGAAAACTACAGAAGCCACGTGACTTGGAGGGCGGGCCCGAGCGCGCGCAAGAGGACACTCGGGGCGGGTCACTCCGGCCTACGGCGAGAGGAAGGGGTCGTCCGAGGGGCGAAGTCTAGTGAGGATACGTGTTGTGTGGAAGGAAAAGCAAAAAAAAAAAAAAAAAAGGGGGGACCGCCGCGCACGCGCACTCGGCGGAACTTGCGCCGGCCCCTTGAAAGGGAAGTCACGTTGAGAGAAGGTGCGGGAAAATTGGGGCCGCCGCGCACGCGCACTCTGCGAGGCCCACCGCGGGTCGACTCTTCGCGTAGGCAGAGGCGCGAAGCGCGTGCGTGACGAAGTTTCCGCAATTTCTTTGCGGTCCTAACTTCCCTTCGAAGACAAGGCCAGCCATCATATTTTGCTATCTTAGGTCCGTCAGGAAGTCGGTTAGGACCCGCTACTGTCTCCTGTTGGCGGGCCAGGCGGTCAGACAGCCGTTCGTTGATCTGGGCCGACACGCCGCTGGCCACCCAGGCCGGGTTGAGCCGGGTTGAGCCGGGCTGGCAGGCGCTGGAGTCCTGTCAAACAGGCTTTACTGTTTGACAAATATCTCTCCATCTATGTCCTGGGCTCCAGGTTGAAAAATTTTGCAGTCCACCTACTTTCTCACTGCAGTTATGCCGGGTTCCGGTTTTGCCCGTGGAATTCAGCGCAGAGATGAAGAGACAGGGTTGTGTGCTGAGGAATCATAATATAACCAGTACCTGGTCCTTGGCACGAAGTAAGGCTATCATATTGAGAAAGCACAGTGAGAAAGTGTAGTGAGGTCTCATCATTTTATGTTATCTGGGCATCCATGTTGAACGTGAATGTCGTTTTCTGGTCCCAGAAGCAGAGGTCAGTCACTTGTGACACTTTCCATTTCTACACATCCTCTCAGTTCTCAGTGTGGTCGATGCAAATATCTCTGTCTTCTGCTGTCTGCCTCCCAAGGGGACAATTGGAGGTAGCCCACTTGTCAGGCCTTGCTCACCTTCACACCCAGTATGCCCTGTGCAGAAATGGCATAGTGACCATTTTTTGGTCACGTGTAACCTGAAACTGATGTCTTCTTGCTTTAAACTCACCAATTAAAACTCTCCACAGGAAACCTGTTTGGATACCTTAGCCCCACAAATGGTATTAATCCACAGACGGCACCCTCTCTCCCTTTATATTTCCTGACCATGGTGTATGTGGTCTCCAAGCCTGTGGTGTATTCCCCAGAATGTGTAAGTATTAAAATCTTTTATCTCCATCTTGTATCTTTCTTAATCTTTGTGTCTTAAATATCCTGATTTATAGGAGTACTGTCCATCTTAAAGATTCTAATTTACAATCCTGCTTAGAACTGTGGGAATGTTATAGGCAGGAAATGACTTCTATGCTGGATCTTAAAAAAGACATGGAGGCATTCATGGGACAAAGAAAAACAGGATATTTCTAGAAAAGGGAAAAGCATGCCCAGGACATGTTGGGGAACAAGGTGAATGTGTATAAAGATAAACTGGAGCAGATTGTAAAGCGGTTTGGAACCACCAGAAGCTAAGACCTGGAGAGTATTGTCGGATTTGTTTTTAAAAACATCACTCAGGAACAAAGGAAAGGGATTGAAAAGAGAGTACTGGGGCTGGGGTTGTAGGTCAGTGGTAGAGTGCTTGCCTTGATGTGAGACCCTGGGTTTGATCCCCAGCACCACATAAAAATAACAAATAAAAATAAAGATTAGCCTCTCAGTGTCACAAATTGCTGTGTGTGCGCGGAGGACCGAGCTAGCTCACAATAAACACCTCTTTGCTGCTTAAAAATAAATAAATAAAGATTTAAAAAGAAAGAAAGTGTTGTAGGTAGGGAGGCCAGTTAAGATTCTGTTGCAGTAGTCTAGCAGGGAGAAAATAAGGTCTAACAATAGGGCCTAACAGTAGGTTTGGGGTTGGTGATGTAGCTCAGAAGTAGAGTGAATGCTCATTATACTCCAGGACCTGGGTTCGATCCCCAGCACCAAAAAGAAGGGGAAAAAAAAATAGGGTTGAAGAAGTAAGGATGGAATTAAGAAATGCTCATAGGATAGAATTCACAAGGCTATGATGAACAAATTTAGGATAAAAGAATAAATTATATGATGCATTATAAGGAGCTTAGCACCATAATTAACTATTGTATTTATCCAGTAAATATGTGTGTGTATAAAATAGTCATCAGAGATAACAAAGTAATCTTATACAACAAGTTTGATTGATATAAAGTTTTTGATAGAAAAAAATCCATTGTATATGTATATGTGTTTAGGAGAAGTTCAGAAAAATCTGCTTTGAGTTTGCCTACTGAAGTAGTAAATAGAATGAGCTACCAAGACAAATGATAGAAATTACAAGAGGAGAAACCTGCTATGAACTAAGTTGTTTAAAGTGAATAGTGATTATTAGGGACTGCGAAAGGTGTTGGGGAGGGAGGTAAAGAAGGAAGAAGGGTGCTTAGATATGATCATTAAATGCTGTATGCATGTATGGAAGTATCATGGTGAATCCCATTAATATGTACAATTAATACATGTTAATAAAATAGGAAGGCTTCATGTAGTAGTGTCATGGAGTTGGAAAACTGAAGCAGTGTGAAGACTCCTCCTGTAAAGCACCAGTTCTTGCGATCAAGTTAGAAATATTTGAGGCATGTCACTCAGAGTAACAGGCATGAGTTTATTGTGAAGGGATAGGAAAAGAGAAAGGGGACACTCTCAAGGGAGATAGTGGATCCTGTCAGAGAGGAGAGGGACCATGTGCCTCTCCTGCACAGAGAAGTTTCCAGTGAGTCCCACTCAGGTCTACCTCTTGATTTTGACTGACATCAGACTTTCCAATACCCACTTCCATGACAACTCTAGATTACCTTGGCCCAAGTTGACAAATTGTAATTGTATTCGGTTTTTTTTTGTGTGTGTGTGTGTGGTACGAGGGATTGAACCCAGGGGTCTTAACTACTGAGCCATATTCCCAGCCTTTTTTATATTTTGATTTTCTCCAGTTACTATGCTCCTCTAAGAATTACTTCAACATTTAACAAATATTTCTCAATATCTTTCATGTGTTATATCCTCTTGTGGGTAAGGATTACACTGGTGAGCAAAATAGGATATCCTCCCTGCCCTCTTGGAGCTTACTGTTTAACAGAGGACACCAACATAAAATAATCATACAAACAGACATATCATTATAAATTACAATAATTTATAATAAAGGAAAGTTAAGGGTATGTGAAAGAATGTGATAGGAAGATTAATTTGGATTGGAGTTCATGGAAAATACTACAAAAGAATATGTCTAAGTTGAGCTGAGAAACAATAAATTAGATTCAGCCCTTATGGATTTGTACTCAGGTGAAGAGACAAGTCATTAAATAATTATGTAAATAAATGTAAAATTGAAAAAAAGTTGTAAAATTTTATTTTTTGGAGAATTTAATTTTTTTGCAAAATTTTATTTTCTTTTAGTACTAGGGATTTTCACATGCTAGGTACTTTCCCACTGAGCTATACCCCTAGCCGTTTATTGTGTATTATTTTATTTTGAGACAAAGTCTCACTGAGTTGCCCAAGCAAGCCTCAAATTTGTGATCCTCCTGCCTTAAGCCTCTCAAATAGCTGGGGTAACAGGTGTGTGCCAACCACATCCAGCTTTAAATTCGGATTTTTATGAATCAATTTAGGAAGGAGAACAGCCTATAGAAAGATTCTAGGATAGGAAACTTGAAATATTTAAAGAAGTAATATTCTGTACTATCTAGCCAATTTTTCTATAGATTTTAAAGTGCAGTAAAAATAAAGTATGTAAACCCTATATAGTGGTGTCATAGACATTTTATAAGAGATACCATAAAGAAAAATTCTCTGAGATTGATTGTCATCAATAACTGCAGACTAATTTGTCACAACTAGTCTCTGAACAATTAGAGGTTTGTTCTTGACTGAGACAAGAGTCTTTTGTCCAAAATCATTTTCTTATCACATGGTTGGTCAGACTGTCATTAGTCTCCTCACCCTTATTAGATAGATATATGATTGGAGACCTTAAAACACTCCCTAAGACCTTTTGCTGGAAATTTCTAGTCCAGAAGTCAGTATGTTTATTTGTTTATCTAATAATTTAAGCAAAGTTATTAAAACTTTCCACTTAATAATGTCTAGTCTTCCATTCCATACTACACTTTTTTTTTTTTTGGTACCAGGAATTAAACCCAAGGGCACTCAACCATGGAGCCACATTCCCAGCCCATTTTATTTTCTTATTTTGACATAAGGTCTCACCAAGTTGCTGAGGGCCTCACTAAATTTCTGGAGCTGGCTTTAAACTCAGATCCTCCTGCTTCAGCCTCTTGAGCCACTGTGATTACAGGTGTATGCCACTGCACCCTATACTGTAATCTTAATCTAATATGCATAAATATTTGAATTACTCCAGCCATACAAAAGATCTAATTTATGTTATTAATAAATATTTGGGGGCTGGGGTTATAGCTTAGTTGGTAGAGTGTTTGCCTAGCATGTGTGAAGCGCTGGGTTCAATTCTCAGTACCTCATAAAAACAAATAAATAAAATAAAGGTATTGTGTCTGTCTACAACTAAAAAAAATTAATAAAAAAAAGAAATATTTGGGGCCCGGGGGTGTATCTCAGTGGTAGAGTATATGCTTAGCAATTACAAGGCCCTGGATTTGAATCCCAGAACCATTCCCCCACTCCCCAAAAAAATAATGGAAAAAGAAAGAAAATAAACATTTGTAGAATATACACAAAGACAGTTAAAGATAAATGGCTACATCAGTGTTTTTCCTGTGTCCTCTACCTCAGTCTTTGCTTGTTAGAATTTTATTGGTCCTTCCATGTTCAAATGCCATTCTGTGTATATTATTGCTAAATGCAAATCATTTGAGTTTTAGGTCTTCAAGCCATTTTTCCTAGTGTATCATAAGCTCCTAGAGGGCTAGGTCTTTCTCTTGTTTATCTTTGTATCTTCTGTGACATTGCTTTGTAGGACATTAATATTTTAAACGTCAATGAAGTACATTCAATGAATAGAGTAATAATACAATTATATTTCTGGTGGAAATTGGGGTCTAGTATATTTAAGATGTTAGTATCAAATATGACAAACATTAATAACCTCCTATCTTCCTAACTTTACACAGGTATTACTAAAACTTTATGCAATTTCTCTTTCTCACAAAGACTTGTCTATAAGTGGGCAAGTTTTAAGCAGACCGCCCTTCTACTCTTTCTTTCTTTTCTTTTTTTTCCTATTTAATTTCCTTCTTACAGCTCTATTTATCTTTTCACTATGATTCATTCTGCTTCTTTTAATAAAATAAATAATAACTCCTACCACTTACCCCTTCTACAGTTCTTTATGCTTCTTAAAACTTTGTTTCCTTGTCACCTGCTCTTTCTATTTTTTGCCTTTCAGGCTGACTTTTCTCCACTTGTTGTCACCTTGCTGGCTGCCCTCAAGGTACAGTGCATGACTAGGTAAGGAGGAGCCCGGCTGGGACAGGGTTGTGGCTTTTGTTCATTTCTTTGGGAATTGCAACCTGACTGAGAAGGATCACTGCATAAGAGTAGCTGGGACTAAAGTCCTTATGGCCTTGTTACCGGAGGTTAGCACCCTGGAGGACAAGTGGGATTTGGTAAGGTCAGAAGTTGCCCCTCTTGTCTTTTTTGACCCCTCCCTTTTCTTTCTGCTCTGTATTTTTCACTCACAGTGTCTCCATTTTCTTCATTTCTCTGTCATTTATTATTCTTTCTTTTAGTGAACTTTATTTTTTTTCTTTATTAAAGGTCTGTCCTTTCTCTTTTAAAATGTAACTTTTTCTACCTCTTCTCTATTTTATTCTTTTTTTTAATTTTTTTTTTTTTAGTTGTAGGTTGTCACGAGGGGGCAAATTACAACTTATGCGGTCTAGGGGAGAAATAAAGAATGTCCATGCGCTTCTGCCCCTTTCAATGCTTTATTCACTCAAATTACTCAATACAATTTCACTCTATAGGTTCTTAATCAAGAAAACGACAATCCCTTAATGCTAGGCACTGCAATAGACATAATCAATTTACAGCAAACAATTCTAGATTAATTCTAAGCACTTCAAACACACTTGATAGGCTAATGACAGACATTCCCTCTGTGTGCTAAGTTCTAAAGTCTTAAGCCTTGGGCTTTATGACCAGCAGATGCACACTCACTCAGACTGTGGTCACCAGGTCCGGAACCAAGGTAGGCTTTTCCTGGCATGGAGTGGTTGATCAGTTGAGGGAGAGGGTCATAGGGAGAAGTTGTGGCACTTACCAAGGTCCAGAGAGGTGGTAGAGTTTGAGAGCGGTGAGGATCACGCAGAGGCTTAGGAAATGGTGACAAGTGATGGGATGTCAGGTCCTCATCAGGCTCTCCAGCTTGAGTGCATCCTTGTTTCAGCTGGCTGAATTGCTGTTTATTTGTTTTATTATTTATACTAAATTTGGGGAGTTTTGACCCCCCTTTCAGTCCTTATCAGCTACCACCAGATTTCTCAGTGATATCATTTACCCTGGGGTCAGAAACATCTGATTCCACCCTGATCTTCTTGCCTTTCCCTCTTATCAGGCAAGCACAGCCTGCCAGGGGCTTCAATCTGTTTATCAGGATGAAGGGAAGTAACTTGTTTGAGGCCATATTGGAGGGTTCTTTGGGTGTGCCTGGTGAAACTTCAGGTTTCAAACTGGAGTTTTTAAAATGGAGTTGCTTAGGCTCAGGCCTAAGGCCATCCTAACAGAGGTGAGAGGTGAACACAATACCTTTATTTTGTTTATTTATATGTGGTGCTGAGCATGGAATCAAGGGCCTCACGTGTATTAGGCAAGCTCTCTACCGCTGAGCCACAACCTTAGCCCTCATTCTTCTTTTATTAGTTTTCTCATTCAGTTTTTTTATATTTATTTTTTTAGTTATAGGTGGACACAAAATCTTTGTTTTATTTTTATATGGTGCTGAGGATTGAACCCAGTGCCTCATACATGCTAGGCGCGCGCTCTGCCTCTGAGCCTTAATCCCAGCCCTCAATTTTTCATTCAGTCTTTTTTTTTTGGAACCAGGGGTTGAACTCAGGGGCATATGACCGCTGAGCTGTATCCCTGGCCCTTTTTTGTATTTAGAGAAAGGGTCTCACTGAGTTGCTTAGAGCCTCACCATTGCTGAGGCTGGCTTTGAACTTGGGATCCTCCTGTTTCAGCCTCCCGAGCCACTGGGGTTACAGGCAAGCACCACCACGCCCAGCTCATTTAGTCATTTTCTACTCACTTCTGTATTTTTATTTTATTTTACTCTTTCCCAGAGAAGCAGAAATAAGGAAAAATGGAACAATTCTTTCTTCCTAGAGCCTTTTCAGTCTTTTTAAAAAATCTTTTTTCATTGTAGATTGACACAACATCTTTATTTGTTTATTTTTAAACTTTATTTTATTTATTTTTTTCATGTGGTGTTGAGAATCGAACCCAGTCAGTGCCTCAAGAATGCTGGGTGAGTGCTCTACCACTTAGCCCCAGCTCCAGCCCTCTTTAGGCTTTTTTATTCATTTTCAGACTTGTATGTTTTGATTAGGCTTTGAAGAAGAATTTGTGTTGAGGAGGTGGCTAATAAACAGTGAAATTGGAGTTAGGTTGAATATTAAATGTAAAAGGCTTAATTTTTTTCTTTTCTATTTAGGTTTTTTCTGCAATACAATGGATACAATTTATTATGGCAATTCTGAGGTATGTTTATTTAATCTCACATAGTAGGACTATATAAACTAGTGTAAGCAAAACTGGAGCATTCTGCAGTTTCTACATTTTCTCCCTGGGGATTTACTCTTTAGTTAGTGAAAAATTATATTCTTTACTTACTCCATTGATATTTTCTGATTAATAAAATGTAACATCAATAACAATAACAACAGAAAAGCAGATAGAGGGATAACATCTGAAATCAGTGGACAACCTGGTCAATAGGAGTGATTGCAAAACCAATAAATAGCAAAGTGCTCACTTTGTCAGCACACATATTAAAAATTGGAATGAGGGGCTGGGGTTGTGGCTCAGTGGTAGTGTACTTGCCTTGCACACATGTGGCACTGGGTTTGATCATCAATACCACACAAAATAAATGAATTAGTAAAACAAAGGTAATGTGTTCATGTTCAATTAAAAAAAAATTGGAATGATAGAAAAGATTGGCACAACCCCTAAACAAGGATGACATGTAAATTCGAGAAACATTCCATACTTTTAAAAAGACAAGTGCAGTTTATTTTTCATCAATTTTATCAGAAAAAAAAAATCAATAGCAAAAGTGAAGGACCAGTTTTAATGATCATCTCCTGGGTCTCTCAGTATTATAGGTTCAAGTTCACTTATTTCCTATGCTGTATTCAAGAATACGCCGAAATCTCCAGAGGTGAGTAGTCACTCTTTGAATTTGTGACTTAGCCTTTAAAATAAATGACAAAGAAGTAGTCTCAGAATTATGGAATAAATCTACAAATTATTTATAAATTCCTCACTATGATAAATTGAAATGCTTTAGGCCTGTCAATAGAGCTCCCTTATTTTCCAGGTAATTGTCTTTGCCATCATTTTCTTTTTCTTTTTAACTTTTTTTTTAGTTGTTGATGGACCTTAATTTTATTCATTTTATTTATATGTGGTGTTGAGAATTGAACCCAGTGCTCCACACATGCTAGGTAAGCATTCCACCACTGAGCCACAATCCCAGCCCTTTGCTATCATTTTCAATTCTTAGAGATGAACTTTTTTCCCCCTATAGTTCTGGGGATTAAACCTAGGGCTTCATGCATGCTAGGCATGTGGCTACTTCCCCAGCCCTTTTTGTTTTGAGACCATGTCTTGCTAAGTTGCCCAGAGGGTACTTGAATTTATGATCTTTCTGCCTTAGCCTCCTGTGGTGCTGGGATTACAGGCATATGATACCATATCCAGATTAAGATGAATTATTAAATTCATTTCTTGGTGTACATTAATTATTAAGATAAGGAAACAGTGTTGTCTGAAGCCTGTATTTGCTCTAAGGATGACAGAAGTGAGTTTCTGATTTCAGTACTTGGGAAAATTGCTAGTGAGGCTAGGAGATCGTTCAAGGACTTTGCTATATGAAAGATATTTGTTTTTCTGCTCTGTCCTTCTAGGCAATTATAATTTAATGTTAAGCAAAAATACATTATTCGGGACATTCAGTTGGTAGAGTGCTTGCTTCTCATGCACAAGGCCCTGGGTTCAATCCCCAGCACCACACACACACACACACACACACACACACACACAAATACATCATTCATACCGAAAAAGCCAAGTTAAAAACTTTCTGGCTTGTAGAGTACTAGGGAGAGTGATATATTTGCTAGCTCAGTAAAAATTTTAAGAGAAATGGCCAGGTATGGTGGTACATGCCTGTAATCCCAGCAGCTGGGGAAACTGAGGCAGGAGGATTGCAAGGCTGGGGCTAGCTTCAGCAATTTAGTGATACTGTGTCTCAAAATAAAAATAAAGAAGGGTGGGGGTATAGCTCAGTGGTACAGTATTCCTATCACTCTTTGGTACTATACTCTCCAGTACTAAAAAAAAAATATTTTTTTATTTGAACCCAGGGGAGCTCTATCACTCAGCTACATCCACAGGTTTTCCTCTAGTTAATAGTTCTTTATATCCTTCAAAAAGATATATGTTCCCCTCCACCTTCCTTTTTTTTTTTTTTTTAACTTTTCAGTACTAGAGATTGAACCCAGGGTCCCTTTACTACTAAGGTACATCTCCAGACATTTTTTTTTTTTTTTTTGAGACAGAGTCTTGCTGAGATGCTTAGGGCCTCACTTAGTTGCAGAGGCTGGCTCAGAGGTGCAATCCTCCTGCCTCAGCCTCCCCAGTTGCTGGGATTGTAGATGTGTGCCACTACTCCTGGCTTTTTATGGTATCTTTTGAAAGCCTTTCCCTCTCCTCTAATTTGAAATGGCTAAATTTTGGCGGGGAGTTCTTTTTAGTTATACATGGCAGGAGAATCCATTTTGACAGAATTATAAAAGCATGGACTATATCTTTTTCTAATTCAGTCCCTAGTACCTCCCCTTTCTCTCCCTTTTCCAACTCCCTCTTCCCTTCTCTCTGCTAATCTTTCTGTCATTTACCCATAGTTTTTTTTCAATTGATTTATTGTGAATGTACACAATTGTGAGATTCACTGTGGTATATTCATGTATGTACATATGTCAGATTCATTCTACTGTTTTTCCTTTTCCCATCCTTCCCCCTTTCCCTTCATTCCCCTTTGTCTACTCTACTGAACTTCTATTCATTTTTAAACACCCCCCCCATTTATTATGCATTAGCTTCCACATATCAGAAAAAGCATTTGACCATTGGCTTTTTGGGACTGGTTTGTTTCACTTAGCATGATAGTTTCCAGATCCATCCATTTACTGGCAAATGTCATACTTTCATTCTTCTTTGTGGCTGAGTAGTACTGCAATGTGTGTATATATATATATATATATATATCACATTTTCTTTATTCATATATCTTTTGAAGGGTACCTAGATTGGCTCTATAGCTTAGGTATTGTGAATTGTGCTGCTAGAAACATCGATGTGGCTGTGCAGTTATAGAATGCTGATTTTAAATCCCTTGGATGTAAACTGAGGAGTGGGATAACTGGGTCAAATGGTAGTTTCATTCCTAGTTTTTTGAGGAATGTCCATACTGCTTTCTAGAGTGGTTGCACCAATTTACAGTCCCACCAACAATGTATGAATGTACTTTTTTCCCTACATCCTTGTCAACACTTATTGTTATTTGTATTCTTGATAATTGCCATTCTAACTGGAGTGAGATGAAATCTCAGTGTAGTTTTAATTTGCATTTCTCTAATTGCTAGAGTGAACATTTTTTCATGTATTTGTTGACCATTCACATTTCTTCTTTTGAGAAGGGTTTAGTTCCTTTGCCCATTTATTGATTTTTTTTTTTTTGGTGTTAAGTTCTTGGAGTTCTTTGTATATCCTAGATATTAGAGCCTTGAGGAGCAGGTGGCAAAGATTTTCTCCCATTCTGTAGGCTCTCTCCTCATGTTCTTTTTTTGTGGGGGAGCGGGGATACTGGGTATTGAACTCAGAGGCACTTAACCACTGAGCCACACCCTCAGCCCATTTTTTGTATTTTATTTAGACACAGGGTCTTACTGAGTTGCTTAGGGCCTCAGTAAGTTGCTGAGGTTGGCTTTGAACTTGTGATACTTCTGCTTCAGCCTCCTGAGCTGCTGGGATCACAGGAATGGGCCATCACACCCAGCTGTCCTCGTGTTCTTGATTGTTCCTTTTGCTGTGAAGAAGCTTTTTAATTTGATTCCATCCCATTTATTGATCTTTTCTTTTATTTCTTACACTATACGAATCTTGTTAAAGAAATCAATACCTGAGCTGATATGTTGGAGTGTTGGGCCTACATTTTCTTCTAGCAGGTGCAGGGTTTTGGGTCTAATTCCTAGGATTTTTATCCACTTGGGAGTGGAGTTTTGTGCAGGGTAAGATATAAGGGTTTAATTGTATTTTGCATATTTCCAGTTTTCCCATCACCATTTGTTAAAAAGGGTGTTTTCTCCAGTGTATGTTTTTTGGCACCTTTGACAAGTATGAGATACCTGTGTTTATGTGGGTTTGTCTCTGTCTTTTGTTCTATTCCATTTGTCTTCATGCCTGTTTTGGTGCCAGTACTATGCTGTTTTTGTTACTATAGCTCTGTAGTATATTGAGGTCCAGGATTGTGACGCCTCCTGCTTCACTTTTCTTGCTAAGAATTTCTTTGGCTCTTCTGGGTCTCTTATTTTTACAAATGAATTTTATAACTTATTTTTATGTTTCTATGAAGAATGTTATTGGAATTTTGATGGGAATTGCATTAAATGTGTATAGCACTTTTGATAGTATGGCCATTTTGACAATATTAATTCTGCCTATCCAAGAACATTGCGGGGGTGTCTTTCTATCTTCTAAGATCTTTAATTTCTTTATCTAGTGCTCTATAGTTTTCATTATAGAGATCCTTCATCTTTTTTGTTAAATTGGTTTCCATGTATCTCATTTTCTTTTTTGAGGCTATTGTGAATGGATAGTTTTTCTGATTTCTTTTTCAGCAGATTCATCATTGGAGTATAAGAACACAGTTCATTTATGGGTGTTGATTTTGCATCCTGCCACTTTGCTGAATTCATTTATGAGTTCTAGAAGTCTTTTGGTGGAGTTTTTTGGGTCTTCTAAATATAGAATGGCAAACAGATAATTCAAATTCTTCTTTTCCTATTTTTATCCCTTTAATTTCCTTTTCTTGCCTAATTGCTCTGGCTAGAATTTCAAGGACTGTGTTGCATAGGAGTGGTGAAAGTAGCCATCTGTCTTGTTCCTGTTTTTACAGGAAATGCTTTCAGTTTTTCCCCATTCAGAATAACATTGGCCTTGGGTTTGTTGTTTACAATATTATTCCTTCTATTCCTATGTTTTCTAGTGTTTTAAACATGAATGGGTGCTATACTTTGTCAAATGCTTTTTGTGCATTTATTGAGATTCTTGTTTTTAAGTCTGTTTATGTAGTGAATTACATTTATTGATTTCCATATGTTGAACCAACCTTGCATCCCTGGGATTGAATCCACTTGATCATGGTGTACTATCTTTGTAATGTGTTTTGTTTGTTTGTTTGGTTTTTTTATCGAGAGAGAGAGAGAGAGAATTTTAATATTTATTTTTTAGTTTTTGGCAGACATAACATCTTTGTTTGTATGTGGTGCTGAGGATCAAACCCGGGCCACACGCATGCCAGGCGAGTGCGCTACTGCTTGAGCCCCAGCCCCAGCCCATGTAATGTGTTTTTATATGTGGTTTGGCAGTTTGTTTGTTTTTTTGTTTTTATTTTGAATACTTTTATTTATTTGTTTGTTTGTTTGCTTATTTATTTATTTATTTTATGGTGCTGAGGATCAAACCCAGTGCCTCACACATGCTAGGCAAGTGCTTTACCACTGAGCCACAACCCCAGCCCTTGCCAGTATTTTATTAAAAATTTTTGCATTGCCAAGCGTTGGGCACACACCTGTAATCTCAGCAACTTGGGAGGCTGAGGCAGGAGGATCACAAGTTCAAGGCCAACCTCAGCAATTTACTCCTAAGCAACTTAGTGACACCCTGTCTCAAAATAAAAAACAAAAAAAGATGGGATATACCGCAGTGGTAAAGCACCCCTGGGTTAATTCCCAGTACCAAAAAGAAAAACAAAAAGAGAAGGAAAAAAAGGATTTTTGCATCTGTGTTCATCAAGGAGGTTTTCTTTCTTTGATGTGTCTTTGTTTGATTTTGGTAGCAAGGTGATACTGGCTTCATAGAATGAGTTTGAAGGAG